GGGCAGGGGGCAGGGGGCAGGGCAGGGGGCAGGGCAGGGGGCAGGGGGCAGGGCGCCCCGCCCCGCGCCGTCCATCCAGCCTCCCCCCTCCCCGCAGATCAAGTCGGACAAGCAGCAGCCGGGCAGCGTCATCTACAGCATCCAGGGCCCCGGCGTGGACGAGGAGCCCCGCGGCCTCTTCTCCATAGACAAGTTCACCGGGAAGGTGTTCCTCAACGCCATGCTGGACCGCGAGACGACGGACCGCTTCCGGGTGGGCCCCCAGCCGCGATGGGCATCATGGCGCCTTCCTTTTTCCCGGTCGCTGTGGTGGGTCTTGAACTCGGGGCCTGGCGCGGTCCCTGAGATGGAGCGCCGCTTGCGGCCTTCTGGGGCTCCGTGGAGGTCGGTCTCGCGGGCTTTCCTGCCCGGGCCGGCTGCGCTCCCGGATCCTCTGGGGCTGACAGGCCTCCCGCGCCGCGCAGCCCAGCTCTGCAGCCGGCTTTGGTTGGAAAGGTCTGGGCAGCGCCGCCTGACCGCCGGTCCCCTGACCCTGCTCAGCTTCAGGCGGCCCTGGGCAGTGTCCTCCCCTGCGTTAGAGGTTGGAGGGAGGGCGCGGGGAGGCCGCACAGGAAGGGCGGGCAGCCCCGCCCGGGGGCTCCTCCTCCCGCTCCTCCCGCTCCTCCCCGCTCCTCCCGCTCCTCCCCGCTCCCAGCACTAGGTGCCGCCGCCAGCCTCGTGCTCGTGCTTCTGTTCGGACAGCTAAGGGCCTTTGCCCTAGACCTGGGCGGGTCCACCCTGGAGGACCCCACGGACCTGGAGATCGTGGTGGTGGATCAGAACGACAACCGGCCGGCTTTCCTGCAGGAGGTCTTCCTGGGCCGCGTGCTGGAGGGGGCGGCCCCAGGTGAGGCCCCGCCCCGGGGAAGGGGCGGTCCCAGTGAGGCCCCGCCCCAGAGAGGGGGCGGTCCCCGGCCAGGCCCCGCCCTGTGGAGGGAGTGGTCCCAGGTGAAGCCTGCCCTAGGGAGGGGGCGGTCCCTGGCTAGGCCCCGCCCTGCCGAGGGGGCGGTCCCTGGCTAGGCCCCACCTAGGGCGGGGCGGTCCCACATGAGGCCCCGCCCCGGGGGATTCCTTGGTGTCCTCACCAGGGCCTTTCCTTGGCCTGGGCCCCCCTCTGGGCTTGGCCGAGAGCCCCTCCCTCCCTCTGCCGCTGGGCTGTGGGCCGGGCCGGGCCGAGCAGCAGGGAGGCTCAGGCCCCTCCAGCCTTGCTGGAGCTGCCCTGAGGCCCCAGGCCAAGCCCCTGCAGGGCGGGCAGGGATTGAGAGCAGAAGCCCCTTTTTCGTCGTGTGCACGAGGGCACCGCCGCTCGGGACTCGAACTTGGGGCCTGGACTCTGTGCTTACCACTTGGCCTTCAGCCTGGCTTTTTTGTGTTTTTGTGGTCGTGGGGCTTGAACCCGGGGCCTGGGCGCTGTCCCTGCGCTCTTCAGCTCCAGGCGGGCGCTCTGCGCTTTGAGCCACAGCGCCACTCCTGTTTTCTGGTGGCTCATTGTAGAGCAGATCTCACGGACTTTCCTTCCTGGGCTGGATTTGAACTGATCCTCAGATCTCAACCTCCTGAGTAGCCAGGATGACAGGCGTGAGCCACCAGCGCCAGGCCAGCCTGGCTTTTTGCTGGTTATTTAGGGGTTGGAATCTCTCAGCCTCTTGGGCCTGGGCTGTCTTCAAACCACAATCCTCCAGCTCTCAGCCTCCTGGCTAAGATTATAGGCACAAGTCACCGGCGCCCAGCGAGGGCAGGAAAATCCGGAGGGCAGTTTGGGATTGCTAGCCTGCTCCTGCAGGACAGACACCTGCTGAGCGCAAAGTGCTCTTAGTCTGATGCCGTGCCACAAGTTACCAGGTCATTAGCTCTGTCTGCACAGATGCTGAACCCTGGCAGGGGTGGGCTGGTGATTGATGCTCAGAGCCAGTCACTGTCCGGGAGGAGGCGGGCCCTTCACCGTCACGTGCCTCAGTGAAGGGGCAGTGGCAGGTCAGGCCAGTCTCCTCTGAGAGAAAGCGGTGGGGGGTGAACCCTTACCACTCAGCTGCGCCCCTCCCACTGCAGTGCCCACCCCGCCTCCACAGGCACCTTCGTGGCCAGAGCAGAAGCCACAGACGCAGACGACCCTGAGACAGACAACGCGGCGCTCCGGTTTTCCATCCTGCAGCAGGGCGGCGCCGAGCTCTTCAGCATCCATGAGCACACGGGAGAGATCCGCACCGTGCAAGTGGGGCTGGACCGCGAGGTGAGGACGCCCGGGCGCCGGGGTCCCTCCCTGCAGCCTCTGCACCCCACGCTGGTGCTCCTGCCTGTCCCATTGGCCCCTCTGTTCCCAGCTGGCCTGCGCTGGGCTTCTCTCCCGCACAGGGCAGAGCCACTGCCCCGCGTGCTGCCAGACAGCCTCGGCCCGGCCCTGGTGCCGTCTGAGCGACCCATCCACACACAGAGGTGGCAGCACGGCTGAGGGTTGAGGCCGCAGCACAGCGCCGGGCCTCACGCTGTGCCCTGCTGTGACAGACCCCCCCCCAGCCACGTCCTCATGCACCGGGCAGCCCTACCGCCACCCGGGTCCACGCCGCTCCATCCCCTTGCTGGGGCCACCCCCCCGCATCCAGACCTCCACACTGCCGACCATGCGCGCAGAGCCTCCCTTGCAGGCCTCGCCACGGAGCAAGCCTGCTAGGGCAGGCCCTTGCTGGTGCAGCTCAGGCCCAGCAGGTCCCCGTACAACCGACTTCTCGTCCATCCACGGGTAGGGCAGAGGCTGGGGGAGTCCACGCCACCAAACCCTCCTGTCTGGGGTGCCTGAAGCCACTTGGGCTTTCTGGCACCGTGAGGTCCCCGGCGGCCGGCCGGCCCGGCCCTCCTCCCCCCGGAGACTCAGTCTCCTGACTTCACGTCACCATACTGCCAGGTGGTCGCGGTGTATAACCTGACGCTGCAGGTGGCAGACATGTCTGGGGAAGGCCTTACTGCCACAGCCTCGGCCATCATCTCCCTGGACGACGTCAACGACAACGCCCCGGAGTTCACCAGGGAGGAGGTACCCTCCACAGCCTGCCTGACCCCACCTAGGCTGCCTTCTGCCCAGGGCTCAGAGACAGGCCCGAGGGGAAGCAGCCTGTGGGACGCTGGGCAGGGCCTTGACGTGGGAGTACACACGGCCCAGACCCACAGGACAGGCTGTGGGACGCTACCTGGCAGGCACAGTGGGGCTGCAGGGGGGAGGGGGAGCCTGTGGCTGTGGGGGCGGGGAGCCTGTGGCTGTGTGGGGGGGCTGTGGCTGTGTCCAGAGGAGCTGCAGGGAGGGGAGGGGGAAGCCTGTGGCTGTGTCCTGAGCAGCCGCCCGCCCTCCCCAACCCATGGGTAACTGCTCCCCAGTTCTTCATGGAGGCCCCAGAGGCTGTGGGCGGCGTGGATGTGGGCCGGCTCCAGGTGGAAGACAACGACCTGCCCGGCTCCCCGAATTGGATGGCCAGGTTCACCATCCTGGAAGGCGACCCTGATGGGCAGTTTGAAGTGCGCACAGACCCCAAGACCAACGAGGGTGTGCTGTCCGTGGCGAAGGTGAGCCTCCGGGATTCGGGTGGGAGGTGGCTCTGCCCGCCCGTGCGCTGGGGCCTCGTGCCCTGGGAGAGGCGGCGGGGTGCTGGACAAGTCCATAGCCCGGCTGTGCGCATCCTGTGCTGGGAACTCCCCCTCCACACACGCACAATCCAGAGGTAAAGACGCAGCTCTCAGGAGGCTGAGGCAGGAGAACAGCAGAGTGTGACCAGCCTGAGCTGGAGACAGATCCTATTTCAGCAACAACAACAAAAAGCACAGCTGTGCGCTGCAGTCTCTGCTGCATCTGAGCGACGGGCCCAGAGGGACACACACACACATATATACACACACGTGCAACTAAATACACGTATATAGATACGCAGATATTCCTTGCTGCTTCACAGTGGCCCTGCCTGTAATCCCAAGCACTCAGGAGACAGAGATTGCGAGGATTATGGTTTGAGACCAGCCCAGAGACAAAGTTAGGAAGAGCCAGGCACTGGTGACTCATGCTACTCAGGAAGCTGAGATCTGAGGAGTGCAGTTTGAAGCCAGCCCTGTCAGGAAAGTCCATGAGACTCCTGGCTCCAATAAACCAGAAAAATGGCAGTGCCACTGTGACTCAGAGTGGTAGAGCACTAGCCTTGAGTAAGAATAGCTCGGGGACAGCGCCCAAGCCCTGAGTTCAAGCCCCAAAACTGAAAAAGGAGTTAGGAAGACCTCAACTCAACAAACAAGTTGGACATGGTAGTTCTTCACTGCTGTACTCTAGATACACAGAAAAAGGCCCTAGGAGCATGGCTCATGGGGTGACTGCTGAGGAAAGCCAAGGCTGGGTGGGGGGGCGGGGAGGAAAAGGATTGCTGCAAGACACTGGCTCGTGTGATGTCGGAGCGCGTGGGAAGCTTGCTCTTGAGGTAGATGTTCCTGCTCGTTGCTCTGGAAGCCCTGGCCTGGTGAGGTTGTGCTCGAGGCAAGCCCGGTGACCCAGTAGCCCGGCCCGGCTGAGATCAGTCCCACAGAGCAGTGGAACCCGGCACGGAGGCACCACAGCCAACACTCATTTTGGAAATGGGTCTTCGTTTTGTTATTTTCTCATTGTTCTTTGGGCCTTTTCCTCCTGTTTTTTGTTTTAATTGGCTGTAGGAGCCAGGCTATGGGGTCACACCTATACACCTATAATCCTAACTACTCAGGAGACTGAGATCTGAGAGGATCCAAGTTCAAAGCCAGCTGGGCGGACAAATCCATGAGACTCTTGTCTCCGATTAACCAGTGAGGTTAGGCTGGAGGTGAGGCTCAAGTGGGAGGGCCCTGAGTGGAAAGCCAGTGAGAGTGTGCCGAGTGTCCGCGGGACGGCACTGCCACACACCAAGGAGAGCGAGGAGGGAAAGAGCCTTCTCCACAGGCCTGGGACCCCAGCTCTGAGCCTGCCCCTCCTGCCCCTCCTCCCTCAGCCCCTTGACTTCGAGAGCCGCGCGCGCCACGAGCTCACGGTGTCTGTGCAGAATGAGGCCCCGCTGCAGGCGGCTGCCCCCCGGGCCCAGCGGGGCCAGGCCAGGGTCACCGTGTGGGTGCAGGATGCCAACGAGGCCCCGGTGTTCCCGGAGGACCCACTGCGGACCAGCCTGGCCGAGGGGGCCCCACCAGGAACCCTTGTGACCACCTTCTCTGCCCACGACCCTGACACACAACAGCTGCAGAGAGTCAGGTGGGACTCGGGGGTCCCGGGTGAGGCAGAGGGCAGTCACAGCCCCTCCTTGCCCCTGGCCTCTGGGGGTGGAGGGAAGAAGCCATCGGTCTGTATCCTGAGGGCCTCAGACCCTTAAGCCCCAAGAACTCTGTGTTGATGTTGAGTGTGTCATCCAAAATGTGGGGCTGAGCTCCGTCCTGGCGATGTCTGACCGTAGCAGTGGGGGTCTGTGGCCGCTGCTGCGTGGGGGCGCGGTGTGCTCGCCCCAGCCCGGCACTGGGCAGAGCTGAATCCAGGCTATCCCTCAGTTGCAACGAGACCCTCTTCTGTGGTTGGGACAGAAAATGCAGCTGGGCTGGGAGGAGTTAATCATACGAGCCCCGCGTAAAATGTGTGCACGTGGAGTGAAATGCGTGCGTATGCGTGTGTGTACTTGTGCATGCCTCTGTGTGACCTCGCTTCTAGGAGTCCCAGGTGGGTCAAACTCCCCCTCCACCCCTCCCCCTTCCCCTCCCCCACAGCTACTCCAAGGACTATGACCCCGAGGACTGGCTGCAGGTGGAAGGGGCCACTGGCCGCGTCCGGACACAACGGGTGCTGAGCCCAGCCTCACCCTTCCTCAAGGGCGGCTGGTACAGAGCCATTATCCTGGCCGTGGATGATGGTGAGGGCAGCTGTGTGGGCCGCCTGGGGCTCCATCTGCCCTCATGGGGCATCTCTGTCTCGGGGCTGGCTGGTCCCTGCGTGTGTGCTGACCGGAGGCCGGGTCCTCAGCGCCGGTCCCTGCGTGTGTGCTGACCGGAGGCCGGGCCTGCAGGGCCGGTCTGTGGGCTGACGGAGGCCGGGCCTGCAGGGCCGGTCTGTGGGCTGACGGAGGCCGGGTCCTCAGCGCCGGTCCCTGCGTGTGTGCTGACGGAGGCCGGGGTCCTCAGCGCCGGTCCCTGCGTGTGTGCTGACCGGAGGCCGGGCCTGCAGCGCCGGTCTGTGGGCTGACGGAGGCCGGGTCCTCAGCGCCGGTCTGTGGGCTGACGGAGGCCGGGTCCTCAGCGCCTGTCCCCTCTGCCTTCAGCGTCGCCTCCTAGCACAGCCACGGCAACGCTGTCCATCGAGATCTTGGAGGTCAACGACCACGCCCCGGCGCTGGCTACCCTGCTCACCAGCAGCCTGTGCAGCGAGCCGGACCAGGGCCCGGGCCTGCTCCTGGGGGCCACGGACGAGGACCTCCCCCCGCACGGGGCCCCCTTCCACTTCCACCTGAGCCCCGGGCTCCCGGAGCTCAGCAGGAACTGGAGCCTCAGCCAGATTAACGGTGCGCCCTCCCCCATCTGCCCTGCCCCTCACTCCCCTG